AGAGACACTTTGGTAGACAAAAATTGTTACATTACACACAAAACAAAAGCAAAGAGTTATTCTTAAAATGAGGCATATGGCCCGGCCGGTGTGGCTCAGTGGTTGAGTGTCGATCCTGCACCAAGAGGTCGCCGGTTCAATTCCTGTTCGGGCACATGCCCAGGTTATGGACCTGATCCCCAGTGGGGGGTATGCAGGAGGTGGCCAGTTGATGTTCTCTCATAGATGTTTCTATCTCTCTCTCCCTCTCCCTTCCTCTCTCTCTAAAATCAATAAAGGGCCCTGGCCGGTTTGGCTCAGCGGTTAGAGCGTCGACCTGCGGTCCAGAAAGGCCTGAGTTCGGTTCCCGCCACTCGATGTGTCCCTTTCACATCGATGTTTCTCTCTCTCTCTCTTCCTCTTTCTCCCTCCCACTCTATCTTAACAAAAAAGTGAAAAAATGTCCTCCGGTGAGGATAAAAAATAAATTAATTAATTTAATTTAATTAAATCAATAAAGGAAAAAAAAATTTTAAATGAGGCATATGATTATGTTGTTTGCTAAAACATACATGTAAACAATGATATTACTGTGATACCGCAGAATTTAATTTTGTTTAGTTTTGGACAGTTTTCAGTTAAATATCTAGTTAGGGACATAATCTCTATACTACTTGATCAATAAAATGACAACATTAGACCCCTGTAAAATATGAAAGTATTAAAATCTTGCCGGACTGAGAGTGGGCCCTTTTAACAGAGCATCAAGTCTGTGCCGCAGCAGACGTCCAAACCCAGCGCAGCGGAGGAGCTGTCTGGGGAAGAAAGCAGCTCGTCCCCTCACCAAGCTGCACACGACAGTCCTCACCCAAGGCCCGGTATGTTTGTATGCATAGGAACAAAACACAGCCCTGGCCTGTTTGGCTCAGCGGTTAGAGCATCGGCCTGCGGTCTGGAAAAATCCAGGTTTGGTTCCCACTGGGGGCGTGTGCCTCGGTTGCGGTTTGTCCCCGGCCCTGGCTGGGTCATGTGGGTGTCGACCACTCGGTGTGTCCCTTTCACACTGATGTTTCCCTCTCTCTTTCTTCCTCTCTCTCCCTCCCGCTCTATCTGCACAAAAAATGGAAAAATGTCCTCGGGTGAGGATAAAAAAAAACAAAAAACCCAGAATGGAAACCAGGGGCAGAACTGCTACCTTAGTCGCCAGTGCTACTAGAATGAAGAAACAGAGACGCGGCCTGCCAGCAACAGACAAGGTGCGCTCAGAAAGCTACGATCCCTATCACATGCGGACGGGTCTGAACTTGAACAGTAGGTCCTCCAACGACACAGAGACTTCAGTACAAACAAAAGCACAAAGCATGATTATCATCTTCATTTAAAAAACAGAAAAACCACACACAGGGACGCGCACAGAGAAAGAAGGAAGGCGCGCAGACACATGGGCAGTGCTGCCACGGCGCAGGCCGCGGGCCCTCCGATCTTCTCAGTAGGGTGATGCATTTGGACACGTTTTCTACTGGTGTTCCCAGTAAGTATTTTTTTAAATAATTCTTAAAAAGAGGTAAGAGGTGACTCTGATGAAGACATTTTAAAATGTATCTGCCCTGGCCAGGTAGCTCAGTTGGTTAGAGTGTTATCCTGATACACCAAAGTGTGGGTTCGATCCCCAGTCAGGGCACATATAAGCAACCAATGAATGCACGAATACGTGGAATAAGAAATCTCTTTCCCCACCCCTCCCTAAAATCAATAAAAATTATTATTATTTTATTTAAAATCTGTCCAGATCCAACTATCAATTTAAAAGCAATCTAAAAGGTCCAGCCAGTGCGGCTCAGTGGTTGAGCGTCGACCCTGCACCAAGAGGTCACCGTTTGATTCCCGGTCAGGGCACATGCCCAGGTTGTGGACCTGATCCCCAGTGGGGGGCGTGCAGGAGGCAGCCAATTGATGTTCTCTCTCATCCATGTTTCTATCTCTCTCTCCCTCTCCCTTCCTCTCTCTCTAAAATCAATAAAGGGAAAAATAAAATAAAATAGAAGCAATCTAAATACTTCTACTTTAACATAATTGAGAAACTTTGAAACTTTTTCTTTGGAGTAGGCAGAGGTCCTGAATTGAAAAACAAAAGACCTATTTATGAACAAAATTGATTTCTTTAGTATTTTCCAGGTTACTTCAGTGTGTCAGCTCCTCCCCGTAGGACTTTAAAAGCAGTAAACACAAGTTTCTATCGTCAGCCAGCCTTCCCAGTTGAGAAACCACCACAGGACCAAAATCGACGAGCTGTGTGTGGCGGGAGGGGAAGGAAGCTCCCAGAGGCTCCCAGCGCCCAGGGAGGGGAATGGGTCTCCTTGCACGTGGCCACGATGCGCCTTGCAGCCGGGCCGGTGTTCCTCAGACACATGTGGCGGCTGTGCCTCTGCACAGCCCTCTAACTGGCGAAGACAGGAAGGAGAGCTCCGACTTAGGGGAAGCACCATGCTGACGGACAACACTGCCCGCACTCAGCTCCGCGTGGCCTCTCGGCCAGTCTGGGTCAGGAAAAGGAAAGCTGGCCCCAGAGAGGAGGACAGCGTCTCAGGGCCATCGGAACCTCGGGTGACGGTCCCAGCATGCTCAGTGCGCTCCAGCACAGAACTGCATTTCAATTTCCTGACACCACAGGACGTGCGTCTGACTTCGCAGTGTCTGGATTGGGACATTCGATACTGATGACACTGTATGGTGCTCTCCTGAACGTTCCAGAGATCCAGCCTGTGGAAAAGGGTCTCCTTTCTTCTGTGAAGCAGGAGACGACAGGCCCAAACAGAGTCCCTGTGCTAAGCCCTCGTCGGCGAACCGAGACTTGATACCTAACTCAAAGTATCGGCCTTGCGCAGGGACAGACTCCTGAACCAGTCTGTCCGGAATTACTGGTCAGCACTGCTGAGGCAAGCTGCCTGGCAGGCCGACGCCCCTGGAGAAAGCGACCTGGCCACAAACCACCCGCTCCCTGCTGGCGTGACTCCGTCCCGCCCTCTGCTGACTACCCACGTCCTCCAGCACCTGCAGCTCCTCCGAGCTCCTTTGCACCTGCTGGATGGGATGCTGCCGATTCACGAATCAATGAATAAAGTCAGTAAGATCTTTCAAGTTTACTTAAGTTGAGTTTTTTTTTTTAACACTTCAAATCACTATTTTCAAAAAATATTCACTCCTCTCGTTTTCATGAAGAGTTCCGAGCAGTGATGCCCCCACTGGAGCCAGCATCACTCAGCGCCCACTCAGCAGCCCAGGGGAGGGGCAAGCTCGTGGGGGGTGGGGGTGGGGGATGCAGGTGACAGAAACCAGTCAGCATGAGATTTACCTTTTTCTTTGCCATGAAATGCTTCATTAGTCTTACTCTGGAAAATGAATTAAAAATCTATTGACATGAATGTCCACACATGCACGGAACCACTCAGACACCTCTCCAACGCCACTTAGACACCTCTCCAACGCTCTGAGACCAGGGGCCTGTGGCCGCTTTGATCTCTGATTTACACTCAGAAGAGAAGCAACTGTCAGAGCAGATCAAAAAGGAGAAACAAAAAGTAGGACCGTCAGAAGCCTGGGAGTCAGAACCAATGAGATCACTGGTACCAGCTGGGAGGAACACACAAAGACCACTCTCCCGTGGGAACATGGAATGACGCCGAGAGGTTCCACCGTAAGAAACTGGCTCTGACCCGACAAGAGAGAAGCAGGAAGGACAGTTGCTCTTGGAGGAGAGAGGACAGGTGGGCAAGCGCCCTCCTGGGACATACAACTGCCTTCGGCTGTCAGCCTGACTGTAAACTGACAGTCAAAGCTGGCATTTCTTTGGAACATAAATCTGTTCGTTTGATAGGTTGTCACTTTACTGAGAAGGAAATGGTGAGTTAGACCGACAGTTTAAGGTGCCTGCAACCCAAGTATCTAAAGAACCTGGGGAGCCGGGCTTGAGTCAGGTGAGCCCCTACGGCCCTGTCCATCGGGTTCTTAGGCATCTTGATTTCCTAACAGCTGAAGGTAACAAAATACAATGATACAGAAACCAATATTTTATAACAAAAAACCTGATTTGTGAAGAAAAATGCACATCTCAGAACAGAAGAAATGACTACATGTTTTTGCCTCCTCGTCTTCCCATTTGATCTGTCCATTTACTAACCTCCCCCGCCCCGGCCTTCCCAGTGCTTCCCCGTCCCAGACTCAGACCGCAGGCGGCTAGCAGAGCACCATCTGCGTCCTGAAAAAGTGTGCACTGAGCATCCCTGCGGGGGCTGGGACCAGAAGGTCCAAGGAACACACAGCTCAGCACCCAGAACTGCGCTTGGGGGAGACACACAGCAACTGCACGCAACCCCCACCGGAGCAGAGGGCAGCCTGGTCAACAGAGCCACAGTGGGCGGTCACACACACAAGGTTCTGCTCCGTCTACAAACCCCTCACCGAGTGCTGTGGATGGGGTCCCTCCACTCACACACATGGGGTTCTCCATCCATCTGCAAACTCCCTGAGTGCTATGGGGTGGGGTCCCTCCACTCATACACACGGGGTTCTGCTCTGTCTGCAAACTCCCTACTAAGTGCTATGGGGGTGAGGTCCCTCCACTCACACACACGGGGTTCTCCATCCATCTGCAAACTCCCTGAGTGCTATGGGTGGGGTCCCTCCACTCACACACACGGGGTTCTGCTCTGTCTGCAAACTCCCTACTAAGTGCTATGGGGGTGGGGTCCCTCCACTCACACACACGGGGTTCTGCTCCGTCTGCAAACTCCCTACTTAGTGCTATGGGGGTGGGGTCCCTCCACTCACACACACGGGGTTCTGCTCCGTCTGCAAACTCCCTACTAAGTGCTATGGGGGTGGGGTCCCTCCACTCACATGCATGCACACCCATGTGCACTCTACTACATACAGAACACGATCTAGACCCTGCTGGGAGTCACAGCCACGTGGACTCTATAAACAAAGCCAACGATTCCCATCAAGCCCTGCTCCACACATACCTGCTTCAGGGTCCTGGTTGAAACGGCAGTACTTGGAGTTCTCAAGGGAAGGCAGGCACTGTTCGATGGGTACCCAGACATACGTCTCAGGACACAAGAGATCAGAAGGTCTATAATGACCCTAAAGAGACATGAGGAGAAAAGGCACAGGCATTACTAACATAATAACTTCCTCAAGGCTCCAGAGTTCCAGAAAACGTTTTAAATTTTTTAAAAATATATTTGTATTGATTTTAGAAAAAGGAGGGGAGAGAGAAACATCAATGTGAGACAGAAACATTGACTCAGTGCCTCCTGCACAGCCCCTATTGGGGATCGAGCCCAAAACACAGGCATGTGCTCTGACTGGAAATTGAACCTGTGACCTCTTGGTGCATGGGTCAACACTCAAGCACTGAGCCACACCGGCTGGGCCAGGAAAGGTTTAAATGACAAATGTAAATGAAGTCAACCAGAAACAGCATTACTGTAAATACCAGATGATTCTACCAGGAATGATTCCCACCTCAGGGGTGCACCTGCAACTCAGAGGCTCTCTGATGTAACACAGGGCCATCCAGGACGCCTGTGTCCATTTGGAAGAAGTGATTCTTGCTGAGCTGATTGCTAAATAAGCCCAGTTTTAAAATCAAGTTGTCTTTTAAAAGCTAGTTAATAACACAGGAAAATTTCTTTGCATATGTGAGAGCATTGTAATTCATATATAAAGCAAACTTACTTTCCAAAATAAAATTTCATCATCCTTAGTCACAAATTTTCACTTTGTGGACTCAGCTGGTAGCTCTGGGCCTGTCAACATAGTTCCAGGGGCCGTCTGAACGGACAGATGCCGACCAAGGCCTGTACGGACAGATGCCGACCGAGGCCTGTACGGACAGATGCCGACCGAGGCCTGTACGGACAGATGCCGACCGAGGCCTGAACGGACAGATGCCGACCGAGGCCTGAACGGACAGATGCCGCCCGAGGCCTGTACGGACAGATGCCGCCCGAGGCCTGAACGGACAGATGCCGCCCGAGGCCTGAACGGACAGATGCCGCCCGAGGCCTGAACGGACAGATGCCGCCCGAGGCCTGAACGGACAGGACAGATGCCGCCCGAGGCCTGAACGGACAGATGCCGCCCGAGGCCTGAACGGACAGATGCCGACCGAGGCCTGTACGGACAGATGCCGACCGAGGCCTGAACGGACAGATGCCGACCGAGGCCTGAACGGACAGATGCCGACCGAGGCCTGAACGGACAGATGCCGACCGAGGCCTGAACGGACAGATGCCGACCGAGGCCTGTACGGACAGATGCCGACCGAGGCCTGTACGGACAGATGCCGACCGAGGCCTGTACGGACAGATGCCGACCGAGGCCTGAACGGACAGATGCCGACCGAGGCCGTGACGGACAGATGCCGCCCGAGGCCTGAACGGACAGATGCCGCCCGAGGCCTGAACGGACAGATGCCGCCCGAGGCCTGAACGGACAGATGCCGACCGAGGCCTGAACGGACAGATGCCGACCGAGGCCTGAACGGACAGATGCCGCCCGAGGCCTGAACGGACAGATGCCGCCGAGGCCTGTACGGACAGATGCCGACCGAGGCCTGTAACGGACAGATGCCGACCGAGGCCTGAACGGACAGATGCCGACCGAGGCCTGAACGGACAGATGCCGACCGAGGCCTGAACGGACAGATGCCGACCGAGGCCTGAACGGACAGATGCCGACCGAGGCCTGAACGGACAGATGCCGACCGAGGCCTGAACGGACAGATGCCGACCGAGGCCTGAACGGACAGATGCCGACCGAGGCCTGAACGGACAGATGCCGACCGAGGCCTGAACGGACAGATGCCGACCGAGGCCTGAACGGACAGATGCCGACCGAGGCCTGTACGGACAGATGCCGCCCGAGGCCTGAACACACTGCGGGCCAGCAGCCCTCTACAGCGTCCTCACACTTTTTCTATTTTAGAGAAAACGATTCACATACTTAGCCAATCATGTACCCCAAATCTAAAAAAGACTATATAAAGGTGCTGAAGGGGGAAAAAAATCATTCACCTAAAGGTAATTTGGTGGACAACACTTAGTGAAAATTTTCAGAAATTTCAAAATTAGCTAAAATTCAAAATGTCTTTTCTCTAAATTTTAAAATTCATTACAGAGTTAATACCTGGACCATGTTTTTCACATTTTTGCTATAACACAGAGTGAGAAATACATTTTACATCATCACCTAGTAAACACATGCAAACATAAAACCAGAAGCAAGCCTTTCACTGCAGAACGCTCACGCCTGTCACGTGACCCTCTATTTCCTATTCCCGCCACCTCCCTTTCGAGAAGACACTGCTGAGCAATGGAACTGCTCTCACAACAACGAAGGACGCAGCCTGAGAAGCACCGTGGCTGGAGGGCGCAGTGCAGTGGGGTTCTGTATTGGTGCGCGCTCTGCTGGCCACTACAGCTGCACCCCTCAGACGTAAAGTGAGCTCCGAGTCTCCCCAGATTCAGAGCATTCAGAAGTCCTAAGCTGATGGAGAGACTACGTGAAATGTGCGTCGACAAGCTAATTCCTGGGAGACTGGGAGGGTCCCCCGAAGGTGGAGCTTACTGGGGACAACACGGGCAGGCCCGGGACAGGAGCTTACTGGGGACAACACGGGCAGGCCCGGGACAGGAGCTTACTGGGGACAACACGGGCAGGCCCGGGACAGGAGCTTACTGGGGACAACACGAGCAGGCCCAGGACAGGCTGAAAGGACACGCATGACCTGGGTGGAGCGACGGCAGGGACAGGGATGCAGGCCTGGGCCTGGCACAGCTCTGGGCAGCAGGCAAGGGCAGTCTCTGCAAGACGGAAAAGGCGGGTCGGGTCAGACTCTGGGAGGCGCATACATCACACCTTCTCCATGAAATGGGGTGCTGGGGTGCTTGCTGGCCAAGAGAGCCAGTGTGCCAGAAAAGACCAGGCCCCGCCCGGCTGAGTTCCGGGGTGGTCACTGTGGTGTGATGTCTCGCTGCCCTGGAGCAGGCGCGGTCACCCGCAAGGGCAGCTCCAGGTGGCCCACACGCGTCTGCCAGGATACAGGGCTCTTTAAATTAGTAATTCATTGGAAGCGCAATACAGCAAAGGTTCCAGGAAATCTTATGATGCAGCGCCATCCTCTCCGCTAACCCAGCCCACCCTTGCGTCTGCAGACCTCGATTCAATGGACTTCGGATTTAACAAACAAAATTTCCGGTCTGTATGTAACATCCTGCTAATTTTGAAATGTTTTTAACCAATATTTGCTTTTAATTAAATTGATAGGTTATTTTTTTGTTATTGATTCACTGTTATTTCGAAAAATTTTAGCAAATAGGCCATATGTTGGAAAAGACACTGTAGTAATGTCACCAAAATAAATAAATATCACACTTACACAACTGTAGGCGACATATTTGCACCCAAGGGTCACCACTGGCAAGCAGTGCTCTGCGCGGGTCGGCATGTGGCCACACCGCCGCTGCGCAGCCTCACACAAGCCTGGGCCACGCCCAGAGTGTGGGTCTGCTCACTCGCGGTGACTGGTGGACGTGCGTGTTCACTACACTCCGTCAGTATAAATTTATAATACTATAATACACACACAACGTTTATCTGTGAAATCAAGCTTTTCATACATACTTAACTTTAACAACACAAACACGTCTGAAAAACAAGTTTGGGCAAAGATTTGGACTATCCCGAACTGGAGACTGCTGGTTTAGAATGGTATAACCATCTGGGAACAGACATTCTTCTACGTCTCCCATCTGTGACCGGAATGTGGAATGAACAGCGGGCAGGGGGCGGGCCGTGCTCCAGCGCCTCCGCACAGTCCCAGGGGCAGCGACGGGCGCGAACGGACCCCACGTGCTCACCGACACTGCACCACTGACTTGACCTTGGCCCAGGGGAGAAAGGACTGTTCATTTGCTTTGTGCATCTTTCCATATATTTAAAGAAATGTGTTTTTCCTTGTCTGTAAAGTGGGCCCATGGTGGTCTTGTGTTTCTGCTCTTATTAATTAAAACTCTGCAGCATAACGGAGATCAGCCCTGCGTCTGTGAAGCACGTGGCTCCCCCGGGACTGTGCCCGTGGCCTCGCCGCTGCGCTGTCACGTGGAATCTACGCGGCAAAACAGATCCTGTTGTAAAATGGCGTCTGCGTCTTCCAATATAATTTAAAAGGCCACTATCATTCGAATATTATAAAAACATTTTCATCGTTTTTTAGTATTTTTATGGTTTCATAATTTAACATTTACCCTCCATCTGGAATTTATTTTGGTGTAAGGTAGAAAAAAGGATCCCACCTAATTTCTTTCAGATGTTTACCAAACGGCCTCAGTGTCATTTTCTGAACAACCGTCATTTACCCCGATTTAAAAGTCTTTTTGATGACTCACTAAGTGCCATGGCGCACACAGCGCCTTCGGCTATGTCCGCTGTCCTGGCCGGTCAGTGGCCATGCGGTGCCCTCAGCAAGTGTTAGGTGCTCAGTACCTGCTAGACCTCCCCCTGCCCACAGCTACTTGCAAAATTTTCTGGCTCTTCTTGCTTAATTATTCTAAGACTGTATTTAATATACAAAAAATATCACTTTTCTGAACAAGGAAATAGTAATAAAATAGAACGATGTCCCTTCTCTACTGTGATGGCAGAGCATAACAGAAGAGAATCCCAAACATGTCTAGTAAAAAAAAATACATGTATCATCTTAAGTTAACAAAAACAAAAACCCGAACATTATATGACACCATCTTCTAAGGTTGGGAGCTGACTGCAGACTGGCTGCATCACACAGATCAATGGGGGGGGGGGGGGGGTAGGGCAGGGCGATCAGGCTGCAGCGAGAGACCTCCGGGTTAGCACAACTGCGTTCCAGGAGGATATGCAGAGGCACCCACTCCACCTGAACCCGGTGTCTGCTGACAGTAAGAAGTAGGCGGTCACCGTAGCTGGCGTGGCTCAACCAAGGGGCGGACTCCTGCACAAGGAGAGGGTGCCCCAGGGCACAAACCTGGGTGTGCAGGAGGCAGCAGATTAATGCTTCTCTCTCCCTCCCCCTTCCCCTGTCTAAAATCAGGACAAACATC